GCGCGGCGGCGCCGTCGCGGAGTTGGCCGCTCTGCCTGCGGGCTCTCGGGGCCGTCCGGTACCCGCCACAAACCCCACCGCGGGCTTTCCCCCTCCGGGAGTGCGGCGGCTTTGATGCTCCCCCCGCCGCATCTATTGCAAAGAAATGGAAAAGCAGCGCAGAGCAGGGTGCGAGGTGGGCAAAGAACAGCCAGCAACTATAGAGTCTCTACAAGAAAGAACATAGAGGGACCTGCCTAATAGAGCTGGGATTTCAGGTGTTAGACCTCAGTTCTCCTCTATACTCTCAAAGAGCTTCATTCATCACCTCCTTAAAATGCCCCACTGACAGCACCCAAACTTGTCCAATTTATCTCAGCTCCTACCCTTGCACCATCTCATCTTTGCTATAGCTCGAGAACCCGGTTGTCCCTCCTGCCTCCCCCAGTGCTTATTTGCAAGAGCCAGGCACCTTTCGACAGCACAAACAAGGCAGCAGCAGACAGAACAAAACTGGCAGGATAAAAGGAGCCTTTGCTAAATAAGCAGTTGGCAGTAGGAATGCAGAGGATATCAGGGAGGGACTAGGGGAACAAGTGAAAATATTGTCAGAAAGAAATGGATGCTACCTTAGTTGAGCTCCATCATCCTCTCTATATTCACAGGAAAGAAGGTAAAACTTCTAATTTCCCTTCTCTCTCACTCTTCTACCATGATATTTAACCATGACCTGTTCCTGATTTACAATGAAAAAATGAGGAGATTTGAGGGCAGCTGATAGTCCTGGGATCTCACCAAGTCTCTAACCTAATAGAAGCCTAGTCCTTGGTGGTGGGTACATGGGTGAAAGAAAAAACAGATGCCAAAACCAACTTACAGTGGTTGTAAGTTCTGCATAGCCTTAGCCATGCAAATTATCCTGGATCTCTTACATTTCTCAGCTGATACAGACTGAAGGTGTAGCAAGGGATTCTGTTGTTTAGGCTAGTAGCTGGTGACTGATGGCATTAGAAAGGGCTGTGGGATGAGTCTGTGAGCAGCTGATAGCTCTCGCAGCTGCGTGTCTCAGTGTTAAGTATCTTAGGCTTATACTGATAATTGTGCAGTAAAAGTAAACAAAACTGGGGGGAAATCCCCTCTCGGTTCATGTAGTCTGTCTCTTGTCTGTGAGAAAACAGGCTGGTGTGGAGAGGTTTCCTGGGATATTGTGTGGAATGTGGCTTGGACACCCGCTGGACAGCAACATTTGCCTCCTGTCATCATGTAGTAACTAGTCACTAATGCATGTGAAAAAAACCATGTCATTGATGTGTGTCAGTGGTGATAAGGGAGGAAAACTACAGTGAAGTGAATCTGGTGTTTTTCTTTTCTTTCTTTTTTTTTTTTTTTTTAAATATATATATAAAAAAAAAGCCATATGAAGCTACAGATTGTTTCTTTAGGCAGACCTGCCTGAGGTCAGCTAAGCTGTGTGTAATGCCTAAGGGCAAGGAAAAGATATTTATTTTCTACTCTTGCCTTCCTTAAGGAGAGTATGAAAGGACACATGGAGCTAATAACTCAGTTTTGGCCTCTCGCTCAGCGCCAAACGACGGTGTCTTCTCGGGGAACCACCATGCCCTGACAGTTTTCCTTTCCTGGTATATTCCTGGCTCGAGGGGCATGTCAGCAGGAGCAGGGGACTCTCCCTTAGCCATGCAGAGGCTGAACACTCCGCAGGGGCACAGTCACGTGCTCTGCATAGGAGTGAAGTCCAAGCCAGAAATTAACTGTAAAGCACGTGCACAGCTACCCAAGCCTGCAGAAGTCTTGGGACAGCCTAAGTTAGCTGAGCAGAATTTGGCTCGGCCTGTGCAGAGAGGGAGGCAGCACAATGGGATTTTGATGCCAGTGGTGAAATTTTCACTGATCTTTGCTGTGACGCTGTTCAACTGCCCTTCTCTGTGACTGCAGTCAGAAATGAAGCTGTGCTCCACAGCTTCTGAGAGCTCCCCCCCCCAAAACTGTACAAAAAAGAAGTATTATTTATGATTTAAATTTTAATTGTTCCATGAGTTATTTTATGAGTAATTTAATGTAACAGTAATTTCACAGAATCGTTTCCTGAAGGAAGACCTCAGTGAYTGGTTCTCTAGCAGTAGGGATAGGTATAAACTCGGAAGAATTTAGTAACTATTTAAAGGATGCACTTTTCATTAAGGAAAAACTCGAAGATTACTGTGCTAATAGTCTGGATGGTGCCATACAGAATTCCCATTGGAACTGATAGAAGTTTTGTGCTAAATCAGTAGTTTTAGGCACTGGATTGTAAAAAAAAAAAAAAAAAAAAGATATTCTGCCCAGCAGGAACCTAATCCTTTAGCATTTACTTAGGCAAACTTTGTCTTTGAAATCCTTTTCAAAATCTGTCCCAGTTTTCATCAGGAGTTATGCCTGAATAGTATTACAGGATCGGGCTTCAAATGTAAGGGCAATAAAATTTAAACATACTTAGGCTGATCTTCCCTTAATCCTGAGGTATAGAATGTGAGTTAGAGGAGGAAAGAGCTCTAGCTTTAGCCCCTTCCTTCTTGCCTTCAGTGCTCTATGACTGATTTCTCTATGTGTTCTTGTATCATTTTGTTTTTCAGCCCTACTGGTTAGACCAGGCTGCTGCCAGGATGGGGCCCCTAGCAGCAATAGGCGAGGAAAATCAGACAGATGAAATGAAAATGGAGCTGTTCACCAGGCTGTACTTGCCAAGGTTCACCACACCCCTCAATGAACTGGCTCTTGACCCRAAACCAGAACTCAAGGACAGCACCACGCTGGTTGAAGTGCAGATCATCCTCATCTTTGCTTACTGTTCCATCATCCTGTTGGGAGTGATTGGGAACTCCCTTGTGATCCATGTGATCATCAAGTTCAAAAGCATGCGCACAGTGACCAACTTCTTCATTGCCAACCTGGCYGTGGCTGACCTGCTGGTGAATACGCTGTGCCTGCCCTTCACCTTAGTTTACACGCTGTTGGGTGAATGGAAACTGGGCCCAGTCCTGTGCCACCTGGTGCCGTACGCCCAGGCTCTTGCTGTGCACGTCTCCACTGTCACTTTGACTGTGATTGCTTTGGATCGTCATCGCTGCATCGTCTACCACCTGGAAAGCAAAATTTCCAAGCGGATCAGCTTCCTGATCATAGGAGTAGCCTGGGCAGTCAGTGCTCTGTTAGCAAGTCCTCTGGCCATCTTCCGTGAGTACTCACTGATTGAGATCATTCCTGACTTCAAGATTGTGGTCTGCTCTGAAAAGTGGCCAGGGGAGGGGCAGCTTAACTACAGCACCATCTACAGTGTCTCCATGCTTCTGATCCAGTATGTGCTGCCTTTGGCAGTTATCTCCTATGCCTACATCCGTATTTGGACCAAACTCAAGAACCATGTTAGTCCYGGGGCAGGGAATGACCACTATCACCACCGGCGGCAGAAAACCACCAAGATGTTGGTGTGTGTGGTTGTGGTGTTTGCTGTCAGCTGGCTGCCCTTTCACACCTTCCAACTGGTCAGTGATATTGACAGCCAGGTGCTAGACCTGAAAGAGTACAAACTGATCTACACAGTKTTTCATGTCATTGCCATGTGCTCGACCTTTGCTAACCCCCTCCTCTATGGCTGGATGAATAACAACTACAGGACGGCCTTCCTCACAGCCTTCCAGTGCGAACAGCGGTTGGACTCCATCCACCCTGAAGTATCAGCTGCTTTCAAAACCAAGAAAAAACTAGAAGCAAAAAATAGTAGCTTCCCTGGAGACTCTTTCTCACAACCTACCAATGTCTAAGACGGCTGACTTGAGAAAAGAAATGACTATCTTGTGGACAGAGACATAAGTCTGTTTTAACCCATGCATTTTTAATGCAGAGTTTTAATCATACATGGTGAAAGAAAACTAGCAGTAAAGTCAAGGCAGGTAGTATGATTGAAGGGGAGTTGATTGACATCAACAATATTTAACTATATAACTCCAAAGAAACAGAAGAGTGAGAATTKGTTTATGGCTGTAGTGTGGTAGGAGGGATTCCTCATTCCCATCCCTCCCATCTCTTTTGGTAAGTGCAGGTGGCAGAGTTTGCTGGTTTTGCCACTGGAAGACAAACAGCTGAGTTGTAACATGGGAGTACTGATGGTGGAAGCAAGAAACTGTTATTTCTTGGAGGAGAACAGAACAGGAGAGAGGTTGCATGTGCAGAATATGGAGAGCAGAAGGTGGTCAGAAGAACAAAGCTTATCTGGAGACAATGGGCTGCACGGGTTAAAGTTCCCACTTTTCAGATCCATCCTCTGCCATGAGTATGTTTTGTGAAGAAAAGGGAATTAAGAAGAGAAATTTTGCTGTTTTTGACTTGTACTGAAATGCTTCAAATAGAACATTCTAAATGGGTTGGGGGGAGGGTGAGGGGAGGAATTAGATTCAATGTAAAGTTTCTAACCATACTGAAATGTGACGTTTGGTCAATGAAGTTGAGTAAAAACTCACTCCTTATCAAGTTATGCTGATTGAAAACAGTCCAAGTCTGGGCCCTGATCGCTCATGCCCTGCATATCCTACCTTAYATTATGCACTTGAAACAGCTCGGAAAACACAGCACTTAGAAGTGGTATTTGAAGGGCATGCAGGGGATGTAGGCTCGGGTCTTCCATGAGCACTTCATAAACTGAAAGAACTGCCAATGTTTTAATTTTCAGCCCTGCTTAAATGTCTAATGTGTTATTAACTCCACAGGCTTTGAACTGTTGCTGCTTTCTCCCTGGATAATAGAATAGGAGATAATTTTGATYCTCTGGAAAGGCTGCTAGATGGTAATGTGTTTTTCCTTGTTGTGGTTTTATGTCACACACTCATGTTGTCTTGCAGCTTTTCCCATCCTTAGCCTTTGTAAAAACTAAGAACATCTGAATGAGTGTAACTTAATAACAGCATGCTAAGTTCATGTGATAACTTACCAGTTATTCTGCATGCTGTAGTTAACTGTTAAATTCCTTTTTTTGGTCAGGTATAAAATTTTAATCTGTTTACTGTGTTGTATGCAGCAATGTTCAGCTCTTGTGTCCTGGTTTAGCCTCTTTAAACTCTTTAAAGAGATAAAGAAAATTTCAATCCACGTTTATTCTAAGCCGCCCTCTTGCTTATCTAGAATAAAACTGTGATACTTTCACTTAGAGACTCTTTTCATAGCTGCATTTTAACTGCCTTCTTTTTTCTCCTCTATTTCTCTCTGTTGCTAAATTAATTGTGTACTCTTACAAATTAGGAAACAACAAAACTCTAGTACTGAAGTTAATAATATAATAGAATCTAATTTTTATCAAGTGAAGAAATTCATCTTTTTTAAGTGGTGTTTTGCTGTCAACCTTTAAATTTCCATGAAATCATTTGGACTTGGATTTTCAAAGACGACAAGGCAAGAGAATTAGCTAGTATTTACTCAAGTAAGAAAAAGTAACCATCATTTTAAACAGTTCTATAAAAACAGATTAATTCTCCACTATGCACTTTCATATTGTCCACAAGTTATTTCTGTCTGAGTATTAGTAATATCCAAAATGTAAGCTCAAAACAGTTATGGGTGAGGGAGGATTACTGTAGTGTCCAATTATTACAGGCATCAATCAGTTGTATCACTTATAGCTGCCTCTAAATGCTCCATCAAAAATATTTTAAGATACATGTCCTTATTTTTCCATAAATAGCCTCTTTTATTTAAAAGGATAAAAACTCTTCCCAAACTTCAGATTAGAATCCTGTTTCAAATCTCTTAAGCATGTTAGAGTGTGGCATACAGACAGTTTTGAAGTAACCATGACAGTGTGTGTTAAAGCTACAATTGCAGGGCTGATTCCCAATTTTTAAGGCTGCTTTACATCATCCCATGTAAAATGATTAATTATAAATTAAGTTTCAGTCTATTTCATGGTATCTTTATTTTACAGCTTACTGAGCTTTTTTATTTATTTATTTTTTTCCTGCAGCCATCATATTGAGCCCAAGTCAGCTGTATTCATTTACTACATAGCTTTCCACTGCACTGTTGAGAGGTAGTATTTGGGTCAGCACCTGCTTTAGTATCACACCCCTCTGCCCAGGGTAGATTTGCACGCTGGGACACTTGGGAATGAGGATCTACAAGAGCCAGTGTGCGGAGCCTCCCGCCAGCTCACTGTCCTCTTAGGGCCTGAGGCACCTTTGGGATCACAGCTACCTGCACTGGGCGCACTGTAACTCCTCCTCATGTTGCAGGAAAATTAGCCACTTTCTCATCAAAAGCAACGATGGAGGAATGTTCCTGAGAGCTCCCCAAAATCCTGCTGAGGGATATGGAATCACAGGATTATTCCTTATTTATGAACTATTTATGAACAGGTTTGAACAAYTGCATTCAAGTGGCTGCAGAGGATTCCTTCAGTTCCCCTACAGAGATAGATCTGCTTTGCCCGAAATAGGAATCAGAAYGTGTGTGTCTACAATTTCACATTGGTGCTTAATTAACAATTGATTAACAAGCCATTCTTTTTCTATGGAATCAATACAAGTTTTGTAAAAAGCCAGAAAACACCACCAATAATTCTCATTTAAGAATATGCAAGTAGGTGGTGGGAGACTAAAGATGCAATGTCATTCAGACTGTCTGTGATTCAGAGCAAGAATTTGAACCAACACTCCCTCAGTTCTCAGGTGAATGAACTAGACAGCCTCCTGCAGCAGTGTGATATGCTCCTCAGGCAGCAGTCTTAAAGCTGCTCTAGTCAACATCTCAGTCAACAAATAATTCAATATTTAGTACCATAGTTTTGTAGGCTGCTAGCTAYGACATTTGTCTGCCTTTTAAGCCAAGGATAGCAAAGTGTAGATAGATGTTAAGCTGCTTCCTCCCTGCCATGAATACTTCTACTATGAAGATACCGAATGGCAGATGGGGGCAAGCAGGACCACAGTATTCCCTGCATGGCTCTTACTCKGAACTCTGGGGTTGGCTCAGAAAAGGGAAACCTCTCTACCATACAAATCCCATCAGATGTGATCTAGGATCTCAGCTGCCCAACATTTAGTTAGTGCTGGGCCTGCCTGGAAGGACATATTTTGATGCCTGGTGGATTTTACTGGCAGAAGTACAAGTGTCTCCAGGCTTAGGCAGCAGGACAGCAGGGTGCTGAACAGCACAGAATTAGATGCGTGCCGGTGCACCAGTATTTTCCCCTGGCTCTCAATAGGCACAAGCCAGCCACAGCCTGGAGGCAGAAGAGCTGCATTCCTGTGTTCTGATAAAGCTTTTTCAAGTCGCCTCAGAGGACAGTACTGAATCCTCTCAGCTAGCATTATGAATAAAAAGTCTTTACTGAGAATTGCGATCTTCACGCAGTGTATCCAAAACAGGACTGAGGAGAAAATGCATCAATGTGAACATGAGAAAAATTACATTTGAGAGTACAAGCAATTAAAATGGAGGGACTAGGCATGCCTGTCAAATTAATTTATATGCTTACATATTTATATATAAATTGCACTGCAGGACTGTGCCAAAACTGCTTGACAGGCCTAGGTCTGTTGGAAATTATTGTCCATTGCCCTGTATTTGGTAATAATGATGTCTCATACAAAACGCATTAGTGAAATGCAGGCTTTGCCAAAATAGTGGTAAGTTTACGAACAGCATTGGTACTAAGAGCAGTAACTGAATAAAAACTATTATCTGCATCCTATCTGTGAGACACCTGGAAGAACCACTGAATTCATAGATAAATATAATCTTGCTTCATAGTTTCTAAGCTATGTCATGGTCTTTTCTTGTATTAAACTAGACAATGATTTTAAGGGATGAATTTTGTCTTGGAATCCCTGAGTTATTTACCTGGTGCTGTGATTATATATGTAAATCCAGGCAGGGTCAGTGTTGTTGGAAGACAAAGACTTTATTTTTAATGCTGCATTGTAAATGATTATTTATTCAGTCAATAACATTTTTCATTTCTCATCCTCACGTTGTTAAAACATTAAGTTGTATTTTATTTAAAAAGAAAATAGGAGGCTAGCAGGTAATRTACAGCTGTTAAAACTGTACCCCTGGGACATACGGAAGTCAGAGAATGAACAGCCACTTCAAGAAGCAAGAAAGGGGGAGTAAGATCAACGCTATTGAGGACTTAACTCATTTAAAGACTCTTTCTCACTAAGTCTGGGCAGTGAGAGAAGCGTGTTAAAATGAAACTAGGAGAAATGAAGAGCCAGATAACTTCTATGCACAAAACACCGTGTTGTCTAGGGAAATTGAGGAACTCGGAGGAGAAATTCCTCTGATAATTTGAGCCTGAAAGTTCAGGTCATGTTCTCAAGCAGGTGAACTTACATCCGTATATTATTCTGAATCCTTTCACCTAAATGCAGTATACATATACAGCTCCCTATAGGTAATGTATCAGAAGCAATGGATGTATTATTTCCAAGCAGTACATGGGATGAATAAAGCAAATGTACTGCTCATATGCTCATTTCAGATGGGGATATATGATATAAATGGTGTTGGGGCTATWACCTTTCCCCTCTCTGACSTCACTGAGCTCTTTTACAAAGAAGAGATCATCAAGCTATAGAAATTAAARACTGTGAAGTAACATGACTTATAACAAAGGAACAATTTAGTTTATAAAAAATCTTTTTTTTTTTTTTTCCTGGTACTGCATAAAAGAAACAGACTGTGGTTTTCCCATCACACTGGGAGCTGAATTTGCAGAACTAATGTTCTGAAGTACTGAAGAACTCTCATGCACACAGTAATCAAGGAACCCTGCAATTTCATGTATACATAATATTTTCAACAATAGGAACTACGGTTAAACATGTGCAGGGCCATACTCTTTCTAGCCCTTCATGGTTGCAAAGAAAAAATAGAGGTCTAGGGCAATTCTACCATTTATGGCCATCCTCACCATATAGAGCTCTTTGTACTCAAACTTCCAAGTTTATTGCTTGCACTGTGACTTTTTCTTTTATTTAAAGTAAGGGAAATAGCTGGAGTGCCTACATCTCATGCTGGATCAGACCAAGCATTCCAGAGTGGAGGAAAGCCTCTACCCTTCGCTCACTAAACTGAACCTGAAGGTACAAGCTGTAGAGGATATACCCTTCCCCGATGGGTTGTGAGGACTGCTCTAGCAGCTAGGCTTCTGGAAAGGTAAGTTCATTTCTGCTGGGTTTAAAACACTGCATCTGGAAGGAGCTCCTCCCGTTCATACTCTTGTGCTGGTCACTCCACAAAGTGTCCGCGTGTAGATGTCACGTGTCTACAGCAAATGTAATTCAATGTATTTCAGTTTCCCAAGCTCAAAGACTGAGTGTCCACAGGTAACTGTACTGAGTGCATAACTAAACTATAACATAACTGTGTAACAGTATAGGAAGAACTAAGATAGCTTTTGGTTAGTCTGGGCTAGTAATACTGTAGCTGTGGCAAAGTTCCCTTCAGACTGGTTCATTGTGCCTGTGTTAGTCCTAGCTTAAAGGTAGCGCAGGTTCCTCCTGACAGTCTCTTGTTCTGACAGGCCCAGAGGCACCAAAAGCCAATGGCCACTTCCAGACAGGGTGTGACTGCCAGGGAACCCTGCTGCTTTAGCAGGGCTGCCTTGTCTGTAGCCCCTTCTGTAGCATTTGTGATGACAGAAATGAACTGCCTGGGAGATCCACAGAGAAAGAGATTTTACACAWAGAAGCAGTAATGTACCAGGACTCTCAAAAACAATCTGACAGGTGGCTATGCCAAAATACAAATACTTCGGGACAGAACAGGATGCAGCCATGGGGGTGTGGGCCTGCACGGCAGCAARATGTCTTTCCTGTCACCACAGCATGAAGCATATGCTGCTTTTGGCAGTGCTAGTAGGACCAGGCAGCAAAAATGCCCTTCCCCAGAAAAGTGGCCTCTGATTCAAAATGCAGTATTGCAAACTCAGATTTCTCCTACGGGACGCAAAGTCTTCATCATTAATTATTGAG